CCCACAGACCTACACACAGCCACACACACATCCCCTGTACTTTCTCCCCGCAGCTCCCAAACACAACACACACAGTGGCATGCATCCCACACCTCCCCTTTCTGGAAGCAGCTTTCCAGATTACTCCCCTTCCTCCCCTTCTCTGCACCTCTACCCCTGTCAGTTCCCCAAAATCTCCATTCCCTCACTCACCCCTGAGTGTCAGACAGATAGGCTGAATACACTAATTTAAACTACAATGTGATTGACAGTCCTCCAGGACACTGACACCAAGATGATAATGAGTCTGGTCCCAGGGGAGAATCTCAGTGAGTGCTTGAAGCAGGCAGGGGTCCTCAGAAGGGTTTCTGGGTGGCTTTATGGCCTGTCTAGCTCCCCGTAGAGTAGTCCTGGAATGAGATTTCTCTATCCCAGTCCCTGATTGAGGGCACCTGTGAACCCCCCAAGGCCCTGGGTGGCAGCAAACAATTAAGCACTTGATTGCTAACCCAAAGGTTGGCCGTTTGAGCCCACCCAGAGGCACTTCAGAAGAAAGGCCTGGTGATCTACTTCCAAAAGGTCACAACCTTGAGAGCCCTATGGAGCACAGTTCTACTCTGACACACATGGAGTCACCATGAGTTGGAATCAACTGTACGGAAACTGGGTTGTTTTTTTTTTTTTGGTACGAAACCCCCAACATCATCAGAAAATGTTAACAGTGCATTTCCCCAGCTGTTAACTGATGCTCAGAGAGGTCAGTGACCCCAAGGTGCTACCCATCTCTGCTTTATCTTTGTCCCGCAAAACTCCACAGAAGCTTTTTGAGGTCAGTGGCCCCACCCCTATTTTTCTGCTAAGGAAACTGTGGCTTAGAGGAGGAAGTGACTCTCCCAAAGCCTCAAGGCCAGGAAGTGCCAGAGCCTCCGCAGTTTCCACCCTCGTCAGAGACAGTCCATCCCCTCGGCTTTGCCATTTATTTTCCACAAGGGGCCCACGGAGTCCAAGCCCATGGGTAAATTGGCCCAGCTATGAACCAGGTCCTTTGGTGCAGTCATTCTGGGTCCTTTTGTGCCTCTGTGCCTTTCTACTGGCTGATCCCCTTGCCGAGAACACCCTTCTCCCATCTCCACCTGGCTGTTTCCTATCCACTGTTCAAAACTAAGGATGAAGACCACCTCCTACAGGAAGTCTTCCCTCACCTACTCAGGCAGAACTCCTCACTCCCTCCTAGGTGTGGGTCCACAAATAGGTGATTAGACCTGGAGGCTTAACTCCAGAGCCCAACTCCCAGCATACGAAATCAAAACCAAACCTGTTGCCACTGAGTCGAGTCTGACTCATAGCGATCCTGTAGGACAGAGTAGAACTGTCCCATGGGGTTTCCAAGGAGTGGCTGGTGGATTTGAACTGCTAACCTTTTGGTTAGCAGCCGAGCCTCTTAACCACTACGCCACCAGGGCTCCATTAAATGTCAGAAGAAATAAATAACCAATAATAGTAGAAACCACTAAAATTTTTTAGAATGGTCACTGTTGTGTGCTGGGTGTGTTCTTAAGTACTTTCCATATTAACAAAAAAGCAGTTGCCTTCGAGTGAATTCTAACTCGTGATGACCTTGTGTGTCAGGGTAGAACTGTGCTCCATAGAGTTTTCAATGGCTGATTTTTCAAAAGTAGATCGCCAGGCCTTTCTTCTAAGGTGCCTCTGAGTGGACTCGAATCTCCAACCTTTTGGTTAGCAGCCAAGCATGTTAACCATTTTCACCACCCAGTTGTTTAATGTTCACAAAAACCCATTCAGGTTGACACTTATAGGCCCACGTTACAGATAAGGCTCAGAGAAGTTAAGTCTGTTGCCCAAGCTCACACAGCCCAAAAGTGGCAGAGCTGGGATTTGAACTCAGACTTGCCTGACTCCATCAGAGACCTCAAGCCCTCAAGGGGCAAGTGGAGAAAACTAAGGCTCAGAGACACAGCAAGAGTGAGGCTGAGAAGGGCTAGGGGTGGCCTGAGATCAGCTGAGTATCTGTTCAGCGTCCAAGTCTACACCTTCTGCTTTGAGCTCAGAGTTACAAAATTGAGGGTCCTCAGAGTGAACTGGGGAAGAGGACAGATTTGTCACTTGAGGTGCCTGGGCTGGGTGGGCCCCTGCTTTTCAAATAAGCCCCTGAGGAATTGCCACTGAAGTCAGTCCTCTTTCTTTGTAGCACTGGAAAGGGGTGAAGAGTGTAGGCTTGGGGTCATAGTTCATGCCCTAAATCCTCCAGTCCCCACCATCATCCCCACAGTCCCTGAGTCCCTCCAGGACGCCTGCAGGAGCCTCCTATCTTCTCTCTGGGCCTCTATTCTCGCCCCTGTGGGCCTGCTTCCCATAGCAGCCAGCCACAGTCCCCCAGGAGTGGCCCATAGAGTAAGCAAGCTCCTTCTCCTGTCTCCAAGGCCCTGCCTGGCTGCTGCCACCATCTCTCCTCTCCCCCTCGAGCCCCAGCAGCCTCCTCTCAGGTTCTCGAACACCCCAAGCCCTCTCCTACCTCAGGGCCTTTGCACCTTCTGCTCCCTCTGCCTGGAACGCCCTTCCAACACATCTTCACACACCGGCCCCTCTGGTTCTCACAGTCTGTGCACGGCTTATATGTTATCTGCTTCCTCCTCTTGAGGTCAGAGGCCTTGCCCACTGTCCTATCTCTAGCACCAAGGACAGTGCCTGGCACTTTTTAGTGCTTAATAAACATTTACTGAGTGAAGAATGAATGCATGCATTGCTTAATTGGTAGAGTTTCTATTGGAGGTGAGAAAAAAAAGTGTTGGAAATAAATGGTGGTGATGTTGCACAGCATTGTGATTGTAATTAATGCCACTGTAATGTACACTTAAAAATGGTTCAAATGTTATATATATTTTATCACAATTTAAAAAAGAGAGAGAGGGTGAATGAGTGGTGATTCTGGAAGAAATCCAGACCAGGATATTCTGAGTCTTCAGACACTGTACCTGGGTGGCCTGTGTTCGAACCCTGGGTACTGGCTTGACTGCTTACCAGCCGGGTAGCTGAACAAGTTATACAACCTCTCTGTGCCTCTGTTTCTTCTTCTGTCTCTACGGTGATAATTTCCCAGCACTTACTCTGTGCCAGACCCTGCTCATTCAATCTAGGAGATTCCATAATTTTTTTACTGAGCACTTTCAGCACCAGCCTCTGTGCTAGGAGCTGGGGAGACAGCAGTGAGCAAGACAAACAAAAGGCCTTACCCTTATGGAATGGACATACTGTTGGAATCTGATTCTAGTGGATTAGTATTTGCCCCATTTTGATAGTAAAGTTTATAATAACTATCACTTTCTCCAAAGGAGCTCTGGTAGCACAGTGGTTAAGCACTCAGCTGCTAACTGAAAGGTTAGCAGTTCTAACCCACCCAACAGCTTCACAGGGGAAAGACCTGGTGATCTGCTCCCATAAATATCACAGCCTGGGAAACCCTGTGGGGCAGTTCTGCTCTGACACATGGGGTCACTGTGAGTCAGAATAGGTTCGGTGACTGCGGCGCACTGAATTACTTCATATGGCCCTTCTGTCCATAGTCTTTGTGACTCCCACAAAATGATTGAGTGGGACTAGGCAAATACGGTGTTTGTGGCCCAACAAGGGGCTTGGACAGCCTGCTAAGAATGCAAGTGAGGTGCGTGGAACCCCTGTTGTGGGGTGGGACCATGCAAATAAAGTGTATGGAACGCTAACGAGGGGATTGGTCAGTTTTCCCATCCTGCTGTGCTTATAAAAGAGAGTCAATCCCAGAGCAAGGGGAGGACCTCACTACCACCAAGAAGAAGAGACTGGAGTGGAGCGTGTCCTTTGGACCTGGGGTCCCTGCACTGAGAACCTCCTAGACCCAGGAGCCAGGGCTGTAACACCGGAGATAGTGCAAGATGGCAAGAAGCAGTGGTAGAGAAACAGCAGCAGCAGAACCAGGAAACCAACATGAGATGGCGCGGTGGGCTTCCCGGTGGTTACAGTGGATGTGCCAACCTACAGATCAAGAGAGCTGAGCGCCTGTCTTAGTCACCTAGTCCTGCTATAACAGAAATAACACAAGTGGATAGCTTCAACAAAGAGAAATTTATTCTCTCACAGTCTAGTAGGTTACAAGTCCAAATTCAGGACGTCAGTTCCAGGGGAAGGCTTTCTCTGTCTGCTCTGGAGGAAGGTCTGTGTCATCAGTCTTCCCTTGGTCTAGGAGCATCTCAGCACAGGAACCTCAGGTCCAAAGGACGTGCTCTGCTCCTGGCACTGCTTTCTTCGTGGTATGAAGTCCCCCTGTCTCTCTGCTTGCTTCTCTCTTTTATGTCTCAAAAGAGATTGGCTTAAGACACTATCTAATCTTGCAGACCTCATCAGTATAACTGCCATTAATCCATCTTATTACATCACAGTGACAGAATATATAACACATAGGGAAATCACATCAGATGACGGAATGGTAGACAATCATACAATACTGGGAATCATGACCTAGCCAAGTTGACAGATATTCTGGGGGGACACAATCCATGACAGCGCCTTTGAGCAGGAGGCTTCCTGGCAGAGCAGGGTGCCTCCGGGCATCTGTTGGCAGAGCTAGGCTTGCCAACCCACGGAGCGAGAGAATTGAGCTCCTTCGGGCCAAGGCTTACTGGCAGAGTGGGGCATCCCCAGGCACTTATTAGTGGAGCTAAAGATTACTTGCCCAAGCAGGGCAGAGGCCGGGCCGAGGGGCCAAGGGCCAGGGAGAGGTCTGCCTGTGGACACGGCTGAGAAGAGGGTATCCTGATCACAGAACTGTATCCTGAGCTGTTCCTGATCCTGAATCATAACCTGTCACCTCCCTAATAAACCCCATAACTGTGAGTATGGTTTGTGAGTTCTTTGTGGCCATTGCAACGAATTATGGAACCCAGCAGAGAAGTCGAGAGTGTCGGGGGAGGGACAGCTGGTGTCAGAGTTGGTAAAAAGGTTGGAAGGTGGAGTATGTCTGATCTCCACCTCAGCAAGCAGCCTTGGGCTATTGATGCTGACAGTGACCTTCTCCCTGCTTGTGAAGATAGATGAGGAGGTCAGATGCTGCCACCACACCATTTTTCCAATGGCACACAACAACAATAATCACTTTTCATCTATCAGATGAGGAAACTGGTGCAGTGAGATGATAAGGAACTGGCCACGGTCCCCCAGTAGAAAGTGGCGAGATGGGATTTGAATCCAGCCTCAGAGTCCTCTGGGGTGGTAATCATACCCTCTCCCCAGGGTTGTCAGAGAATGCCACGAGCTCAGATGGGTACAGTACCCTAGTGAGTGCTCATGAAACACATCTGCTGTTAATGTCAGCCTTGTATGCTCGTTCTCACTGGGGTTTGTATTGTGAAGGGCCTGTAACCCGCACACTTCTCTGATGTTGTGTGTGTCTCTTTCCCCAGATGTGAACCTGGCCAGCAGCCCGCTGACCAGTCGCTGAAGCAGGCCCCCAGGCTGGGCCTGCCCCACCCCCGGCCCAGCATGCGCCTGTCAGTGCGGAGGCTGCTGCTGGTGGCTGGCTGTGCCTTGGCCTTGGTGCTGGCGGTCCAGCTGGGCCAGCAGGTGCTGGAGTGCCGGGCGGTACTTGCGGGCCCGCGGAGCCCCCGGCGGGTCATGCGGCCGGAGCAGGAGGAGCTGGTGATAGTGGGCACGAACCACGTGGAGTACCGCTATGGCAAGGCCATGCCGCTCATCTTCGTGGGCGGTGTGCCCCGCAGCGGCACCACGCTGATGCGCGCCATGCTGGACGCCCACCCTGAGGTGCGCTGTGGCGAGGAGACCCGCATCATCCCCCGCGTGCTGGCCATGCGCCAGGCCTGGTCCAAGTCAGGCCGCGAGAAGCTGCGGCTGGACGAGGCGGGTGTGACAGATGAAGTGCTGGACGCTGCCATGCAGGCCTTCATCCTGGAGGTGATTGCCAAGCACGGCGAGCCGGCCCGCGTGCTGTGCAACAAGGACCCCTTCACGCTCAAGTCCTCCGTCTACCTGTCGCGCCTGTTCCCCAACTCTAAGTTTCTGCTGATGGTGCGGGATGGCCGGGCCTCTGTGCATTCCATGATCACGCGCAAGGTCACCATCGCCGGCTTCGACCTCAGCAGCTACCGCGACTGCCTCACCAAGTGGAACAAGGCCATCGAGGTGATGTACACCCAGTGCCTGGAGGTTGGCAAGGACAAGTGCCTGCCTGTGTACTACGAGCAGCTGGTGCTGCACCCCCGGCGATCCCTCAAGCTCATCCTCGACTTCCTTGGCATCACCTGGAGTGACGCTGTCCTGCACCACGAGGACCTCATTGGCAAGCCGGGTGGCGTCTCCCTGTCCAAGTGAGTGGTACCCTAATGCCTCTGCCCACCCCCTGCCTGGTCCTGGGGTTGGAGGGACCTGGTAGGAAGCTTGGCTCTGCTGCCTCCCCAAGCTGTGTGGCCTGGGGCAAGTTACTGTACCTCTCTGAGCCTCCGCCTTCTCGGTAGATCTGTGAAGGGGCCGATTAAGAGCAGAGCCTCCAACTGGATCGCCTACCTCTTAGCTCTACGGGATTGGACAAGTCACTGTTCCTCTCTGAGCCTCAGTTTCAGTATCCAAAAAAGGGGGACAGTCACTCCTGTCTTTTCCAGGAGAATCAGCAAACATTTGAACGTGCTCTGTAGTAAGGCAGAGGTGGGGACAGGTTCAGAGCACACATTCTGGAACCAGGCTGTCTGGATTTGAATCCCAGCAACACCACTTCCTAACTGTGTGTCCTTGGGCAGGTGACAACCTCTCTGTGCCTCCGTTTTCTCATCAGTAACATGGAGATGTAATCTGCCTACCTCATAGGTACCTGTGAGCATTACATAAGTTAATACATGTTAACCATTTGTTGTCAAGTTGACGCCAACTCATGGCAACCTTGTGTGTCAGAACTGTGCTCCATAGGGTTTTCAGTGGCTGGTTTTTTGGAAGTAGATCACCAGGCCTTTCTTCTAAGGCACCCCGGTTGGCCTCGAACTGCCAACCTTTTGATTAGCAGCCAAGCGCATTAACCATTTGTACCACCCAGGGACTCCTAATACATTTTAAGTGCTGCTATTATTACTGCTGCTCTTATGGTGCTGGTTATTATTATTTCAGTGTTGATACTGCTGTTCCTGGAACACTTCATCAGCCTCACCATCATTACCATTTCTTGAGCGCCTGCTAGGTGCCAAGCACTGGGTTAAACCCAACAAACATCATCTTTAATCCTCACAGCAATCTGAGGATGTAGGAACTATTCTTATCCCTATTTTACAGATGAGGAATCTGCATCTCAGAGAGAAGTCACTGGCCTAAGGCCACCCAGATAGCAAAGTGTGGCACTGGGATTTAAACCCAGGTCTGTCAGATCCCAAAGTGTATGCGCTTAAGCTCTCTGTGTCCTGGACCCCGCCTTCCTTCCTCTCTCTTTCCCTCTGACCTTTGCCCTCAGCCTTCATCCTGTTGAGAGGCCATCCTTCACCTGAGACCCAGAGCACACGAAGGATGTAGGAGTGGAGCTAGGAGTGGAGCGTGCTGTTCCCGCACGTCTCTACCCCGATCAGACTGGGGTATCCTTGAGCGCCCAGCACAAGGGCGGTCCTCCCCTTTGTCTCAGTTACCTAATGCTGCCACCACAAGTGGGTGGCTTTAAAGATCAGGAATTTGCTTTCTCACGGTTCTGGAGGCTAAACAAGGTCCAAATCAAGGTCCTGGCTGTGTCGATTCCTTCCTTGTCGGTAGCCCCAGGCATTCCTGGGTTCCTTGGCTTATAGGTGATCCTCACCTGGCATCTGTCTTCCCCTGTGTGTGTGTGCGTGTATTTGTGTGTCTCTGTGTCTGTGCTGCTCTTTATATAACTCTGAAGTGATTAGGTTTAGGATCCACTGGTATGACCTTAACTGATTGATGGATTATATTACATTAGATTATGTTATAGAAGATAATTACATTATATTACATTAGATGTAAGATAATTACGTTACATTCACAGGTATAGGAGTTATAAGGAGTCTGGGTGGCGCAAGTGGTTTATGATTGGTTGCTAACCTAAAGATTGACAATACGAACCCACCCAGCAGCTCCATGGAAGAAAGGCCTGGTAATCTGCTTCTGTAAAGATTATAGCCAAGAAAACCCTATAGAAGTCAGTTCTACTCTGTAACACATGGGGTTGCCATGAGTTGGAATCAACTTGATGGCAACAGAGTTGTTGTTTTTTTTAATAGAGGTTATGGGATTCCAACACTTATTTTAGGGAGACAATTTGATCCATAACACCCTTTCTTCCATGGCTGGTGCCTGTTAGGCTCCATCCCCAAGAGGTCTGGGCCATGAGCAGAGCTGGAGGCTTGAAGCAGCTCTCCCACTGGCAGTAGAGTGCCCACATGCTGGGCATCCCAGCCAGTTGGTGCTATCCATTTCTAGGGGTATGCAAAAATAAGCTATCATATTGTATAACAGTGGTAGTAGTAACATCAGAGCCTGTCTAACTTCAGGGGGGATAATGACCAGGATCAACCCAAAGCTGACTCCCATGAGGTGGAGGTCAGACATACCTCCACCATCTAACCTTTTTACCAGTTCTGACACTGTCCTTCCCTAGGCCTTCTCCACATCTCTTCTGGGTTTGATAATCTATTGCATTGGCCACAGTGAACTCCTAGACCGTACTTACAGTTGGGTGGTTTATTAAGGAAGTAACAGGGTACAACTAGGGATCAGAACCAACAGGCTACAACTCAGGATCACGATCAGGGAGCGTGTAGGCAAAGTCCCCCTTCTTCAGCACAGGACAGCTCTCTTCTGCTCCTGTCATCTGTGCAGCCTTCCTCTCAGCCCCCTCAGGATAGGCCTCCCCTCGGCCCCCCTCAGGATAGGCATCTCTTGGCTCTGCCATCTGTATCCATTGATTCTGCCTCAGGGCCACTTCTGAGGCTGTCCCCGCCTTCAGTGTTACAGCCCTTGACCTTTGTTACAGCTGTTTTAGGAGGTTCCTTGCCTCCTCTCTGTTTCTTCTCTCTTCTTCTGCTTCTTTCTGTGGGGCTGGCTGCATATATATATACACAAATCCTTGTCAATTCCAATTTCAAGGCATGACCTCTTCCAGTGAGGGCCACAAACTGACTAATCCCGTCACGGTAGCCCCAGACACTTCATCTGCATAGTAGGCAGTACTCCATATTTTTGTTTTTATTTTACTTGCATAGTCCATAGTCACTTCATTTACATAGTGTATTGACTAATCCCTGCAAGGTGCATACCAATCACAGTGCAGGCTGCAGCCCAGGGCCCGACAAAAAGTTAGATTGTTTACAGCTTGCCCAGGAAATGTTAATCAACCTGGACAAAAGTAGCAAACCCTCTAGGGTAGAAAACTAGGGCAAATGTAACTCCTCAGGGTTTAGGAGAAAAATCTGTGTAGATATTTTCCCAGACCAAGGCAAAAGGCCACACAAAGGAACTCATTTCACCACACATCCATTCATAATATGAAATGCTACACAGTTGGAAAAAAAGAATGAGATACTGTTAGTGCTGGAGCTGGGGTTTTGTAAATTGTCGTGACAAAAAATCAGATTACCAAAGGGATATATCTTTATTGTAGAAAATTGGGGAATATACAAAAAAGAGGAGCCCTGGTGTGGCGCAGTGATTAAGCATTTGGTTGTTAACCAAAAGGTCAGCAGTTTGAATCCACCAGCCGCTCCTTGGAAACCCTATGGGGCAGTTCTACTCTGTCCTGTAGGGTCGCTATGAGTCAGAATCGACTTCACGGTAGTGGGTTTTGGGTACACAAAAAAGAATGGAAGTACAACCCATCATCCCACCATCCATATTTTGATATATGGCCTTCTGGTCCTCTGTCAGCACATATTGATAAAACTGGAGTTCTACTGAACTTAGGACTTCGTAACCTTTATTCGCTTTGCCTGTGGGACCACGCACCCATGGCATCCAGCATGCTGCTGTGACGTCATTTTGAATGGCTGTATACTATTCCAGTACATGATTACTATGTTCTATTTAACATCTCGTATTGTTGGGCACTTAGGTTATTTCTAGTTTCATTGACACTTATCAAGCATTGTTCCCAGGAATGTTCTGGAATACGGTCACTTTATTCTGTATCATTAAAGCCCTGGAGATACAAGCGTGTGCCAAAGGCCATGAACACACTTGAGATTTTGGGCACATTAGGAAGAGCTGAGTTTAAATCCGCGTCTCCAGACTTCAGATCCACACTCCTTTTACCACTCCATACCCTTTCACCTTCCCCAGTTCTCCTTATTGCCAGGCCTGTCTTCCTTTTGCTACATCTTTCTGTTTCTGTTCTTCTTCCCCAAGTCATGTCTTCGTTGCGATGGACGCATCTAGAAATATGTCCTTGATCCCCACCCTCTTATTCTACAAGGTGTCTGAACTGTAAGTGGTAAGATCTTCAGGATTTGGGTGACTTGGGAGGTCTGTTACAGGGGAGTGCAAGGAGGCACCCACGTGATGATGGTTGTTACTTTGTAGCAGTAAAAGGCTGGAAATAACCTAAATGCAGGTTTCTAGGGGAATGGAAAAGTAAGCTATCCTGTATTCATGCTGTAGAATGCTACATGGCTGAAGAAAAAAAAGAGAGATATTACTGAGTAAAAAAAAGAAAATACAGAATAATACATATAGCATGTAATTTCTGTTTTAAAACCTGCAAATAAGACAATAGATTTATAGATTTTTCCTGTGTGTGCGAGAGCTTATAATATGCCGTATACTCTTCTAAACTCTTTCCTTGTATTAACTCATTTAATCTTTGTGACAGCCCAGTGAGGTAGGTACTGTTAGTCCTATTTTATAGATGAGGAAAGTGAGGCTCAGAAAGGTGAAGTAACTCGCCCATGGCCACCCAACTAGTGGTGGTACAGCAGGCATGTGAACCTAGGCAGTCTGGCTCCAGAGTCTGCTTTTAACCATTCTACTATTTAAGGCGCAGACATGAGGATTGAAAAGGTGAGATGTACTCCAAAATGCAAAGAAAAACAAGTTGTCATCAAGTCAGTTCCAACTCATGGTGACCCCGTGTGTGTCAGAGTAGAACTGTGCTCTGAAGGATTTTCATGGCTGCGATTTTTCAGAAGATCACCAGGCCTTTCTTCTGAGGCACCTCTGGTTGGGTTCGAACTACCAACCTTTTGGTTAGTAGCTTTGCACTTAACTGTTTGCGCCACCGAGGGGCTCCTAAAATGCTAAGACTGGGTACCGTACGGAGTTATGGACTAGGAATGGTTAATTCTAGCTTTATAATCTTTTTTTGACAAAATCTTCATGTTAGTTGTATAAATACAAAGTTATTTGCACAAAATCAGGGAAGTCAAGGGAGCAGAATTTATTCGCCAACCAGCAGTGTGCACTGCCTAGTACTTTCTTCCAGCTTCCCACCACATACTCTTATCCCCATTGTACAGAGGAGGTATGATAAGGCAAATTGACTCGCCTACCGTCTCACATCTGATGGTGGCAGCACTAGGCTGGGGGCCGGGTCTCCCTAACCTTTGCTGCTGCCCCAGAACACTGAGCAGGGAAGGCCTCCAAGGCTCTGTCTGGGTTTGCCTTGCCCAGTCCAGCCTGTCCTGTCTCCCCAGGATAGAGCGGTCCACAGACCAGGTCATCAAGCCCGTGAACCTGGAAGCACTCTCCAAGTGGATCGGCCACATCCCTGGGGATGTGGTGAGAGACATGGCCCAGATCGCCCCCATGCTGGCTCGGCTCGGCTATGACCCCTATGCAAACCCACCCAACTACGGCAACCCTGACCCCATCGTCATCAACAATACACACCGGGTAAGTGCGCGTGCACACATGAAGATGGGCTCTCGGGCTTCGGCAGGTGCTGCCTGAGAAAACAATCTCTTGATTCCTGAGCCACTGGTTTGCTTCTATCTGATGGACAGGGCGAATCATACAACTGCTTGTATTTCCATTTTCCCTTGGGCTGCAAGGACGCTTAAAGCCAACTGGTGGCCTATCTGTCAGACACTACAGCATCTAATAGCAGACCCAGTCGTGCACGAATCTCATCTTGTTTTCTGCTTCTGTTTTCCTTTATGAGTACACTAATGAAATTGTATATACCTGCAATGTCCATTCTGGTAGCCACTAGCGACATGTGGCTCTTGAGCCCGTGAAATGTGGCTGGTCTAAATTGAAAGCTGCTGTAAGTGTAAAAAGTACACACGGGATTTCAAAGACTTAGGCAAAAAACAAGCCCTTGTGGCTAAAATATATATATATATATGTAAATTATCCCAGTAGTTTTTATATTGACATTAGGTTAAATAAAATATATTGTTAATATTATTAAATTTTAATTTCACGTTTCTTTTTATTTTTTTAATATGGTTACTAGAAAATTTCAAATTGTATCTGTAGTTCCTATTGTATTTTCTGTTGGACAGTGTGGGTTGGTCTACACGGTGCCTTCCATACCAAGAGATAGTGAAAAGGCCCAGAATTTTTGGTTCCCGTCTCAGAACCTTTGCCCTAGCCGTCTCCTGTGCCTGGAACATCCTCTTCAGAGCTTAGCCTGCCTGGTTTCCCTTGTCATTCAGGGCTCAGCTCAAAGGTCACATGTTCCAAGAGGCCCTTCTTGAGCATCCAACCAAAAGAAGCCCCCTGGTTATTCCTGATCACATCCCTTTGACTGCCTTTCTTCATAGCACTTCCCAGTGCTTGATATGTGCTTGTTTATTTGTGTTTGTTACTACTTGTGTATTGTCTGACTCTGCCTGTAGAACTGGAAGTTCTAGAAGAACAGGAATTTTATTTGTCTTGTTAAAGTTGTACACCCAGTGCTTGGAATAATGCCGGAATAAGTGAGCTCAATAAATATTTGTTGGATGGATGTAGGGAGGGTGACGGACTAAATTTTATTTTTTTTTAATTTGCTTAAGAGTGATATTTTTTTTTTCTCTTTCCTAGGTCTTAAAAGGGGACTACAAAACACCAGCCAATCTGAAAGGGTATTTTCAGGTTAGAAACCCCAATGGGAATTCAGAATTCTGGTTGTCCTGGCTGTGCACTAGCTTCCTGTATGCCCTTGGATGCTCTACTTCTCCAGTCTGTCACAGTTTCCCCTTCGTAAAGTTGCGGGGAGGGGGGCACAGGATCTCCAAGTGGCCAAATCTCACCAGCCCTTCAGCCTGACCCTCTTCCTTCATTTTGTCTCCTGGCTTGAGAGCAGTTGGAAGGGCCTTTCTGTCATGCTTTCTGTCTAGACTTACATTCAGTTTTATTTAAGCAGCAGTTCCTAAATACCACCCAGTGCAACATTTTCACCCGTCTACCAAAAAATGAGAACCACAGAGGGACCTACGGTGTGTATACGTGTGCGGGTACAGATAAACATTGGCACCTGCGCCCCCATGTGCATCCCCTGGCTCTGCCCGCTGAGCCTCCCATGTATGTCCCTGAGAGGTGGGCGATGCTCCATGTCCAGTAGGACTGCCTTTTACTGCGATTATAGATGGATAGCTGCCGTTGAGTCAGCTTCGACTCATGGTGACCCTTATGTACAACAGAATGAAATGCTGGCCAGTCGTACGTCTTCCTCACAATCCGTAGCATGTTCAGATCCACCCATTTGGCTGTTGTGCCAATCCATCTCACCAAAGTCACTCTTGCCATCACCGGCCTTCTGGTTCACCAAACATGATGTCCTCCTCCAGTGATTGATCCCCTCTGATGATGTTTCCAATATTCTGTTATGATCCCTAAGGTTTTCATTGGCTGATTTTTTGGAAGTAGATCGCCAAGCCTTTCTTCCTAGCCTGTCTTAGTCTGGAAGCTCCACTGAGAGCTGTCCACCATGAGTGACCCTGCTGGTATTTGCAATACCGGTGGCATAGCTTCTAGCATCACAGCAACATGCAAGACACTACAGTAGGAGAAACCGACAGACGGGTGGTGGGCTGACAGGATAGCCATCTTTTTTTTTTTTTTTTTTGGTATTAAAATCCCCCCTGCTAAATGAAATGGTGGTGCTAAAATTAGTAGTTTTAGTTCATGTGTGTATTTTATTTAATTTGGGAAAATAAGGAGTGGGCCACCCTATACCCGTCCCCAGTTTAATTATCAAATTAATGAACTCTGAGCGCCCAGGGCCACAGCTTTCAAGCATTTCATAGTTTGAGGAGGGGCCCGTGCTCTCTTTGTGGGAATCAGAGACCCTGTGTGTGCCTGTCCCTATGTCTTCCCACTGTGAAAAAGCATTGCCAAAACCAGTGAGTGCTACTCTATTACTTGTTTTTAACCAAAAAGATGATGTAACAAGAATTAGAAACAGAATTGAGGGTGGGGGGGATTATCCACAATCAAAACTGTTTGCACTTGTTTGTGTTTGCCTTTTGCCCACCTGAATATCCATTTTGCATTAGTTGCAGTTCTGATGTGTGAGCTGCCTCGATTTGCTTTCTTAATGTTTTACCATCATTCGAGTTTCCCTATTACCGTTTTGGATACTTACATTGTACTCCTATGCCACCGTTTATTTAACTGCTTCCCTAAGATTGTTTCTAGTTTTTTCACTGTTGTGAATGACGGCATGCCCATATCACCGATTTCGCCTCTCTTTGGCAGGCTAGGGGCCTCTGTTGAATTATTCCCTTAGAATACTTTTTTTTAAGAGTGGAGTCAGTGAGTGGAAGGGTCTGGATCTTTTAAAGGCTCTTGGAGGACAAGGCTAAAATTGCTTTGTAAAAGAGTTGGACTAGCTTATATCCTCCTGCAGTGTATGGCATACACCAGATGTCTAGGGTAGCCCAGGACTGGTTTTTTGTATTGTAAGGAGCAAAATCATGAGGCAGTGGTGGTTCGGTGGTAGAATTCTCACCTTCTGTGCAGGAGACCTGGTTTCAGTTCCCGGCTGGTACACTTTATGTGCAGCTACCACCCCTTCTGTCAGTGGAGGCTTGCATGTTGCTATGATGCTGAACAGGTTTCCGCAGAGGTCCCAGACTAAGACAGACTAGGAAGAAAGACCTGGCTACCTACTTTCAAAAATCAGCCAGTGAAAACCCTATGGATCACAACAGCCCAATTGGCAACCAATCATGAGGATAGCGCAGCAGCAGGCAGTGTTCTGTTCCGTTGTGCATGGGGTCACCATGAGCCCGGGGCCAGCTTGACGACAGTGAACACCAGGAGCAAGTTATGAATGGATAACATATTCCTGTCCTGGTGAACACTCCTGTCCTCAGGCGAACTGCCCTACAAACTGCATCAAACCCTGACCTCTCCCCTTCACCTCCTCCACTGCCCCCCTGGGTCCCTCATCTCCAGCCACACCTTCCTGCCTCCAGGTCTTGGCTGTTCCCTCGGCCTGGAATGCTTTTCCACCCAGAGCTTTGCATGGCCAGGTTCTTTCTCCTCTTACAGATCTTGGCTTAAATGTCATTGCCTCATAGAGGCTTTTGCTCTCTGGAGTGGTCAGCTCATTGCAGTGCCTGGTTTGAACATTATCTTGCATTTGTGTTTGTTTAGCAGCCTCCATCCCCCACTGGAAGATAAGCTCCATGAGAACAGGCCTGGGCCCGGTATGTCCCCCATGATATCCCCAGCACATAGTAGGTGCACAGTAAATATTCAATGAATGAGTGCCTGCACGAGTTGATGCTGAAGAGTGAACCACAGGGCAGCAAGACCGCCCCCTATACACGCCTGGAAGTGACCCCTTTTCCTATCTGTTACCTTCCTACAGGTGAACCAGAACAGCACCTCCTCCCACTTAGGAAGCTCATGATTTCCAGGTAGGCCTGTGGACTTCACTAGGGGCTCCCACTGCCGCTGAGCCCAGGAGCCACTTTTCTGAAATCCTTGTCTTTGCAGAGCTTCCCTGGGGAGAAGTGTCCACTGAGGTGGGCTGACCCAGCCCCATCAGAAGTTTCCATGGCGACAGGCTGGGGGAGCTATTTATAGAATGGAGGCTTAGTATCTTGGCTCTGGATGGGTGTGGGGGTGATGCTGAACCAGCCAGAAAAAGACCCTTAGTTTGTCTGGCACTGGGGAGGGAACAGGAAGGACCACTGTGATGGAGAGAATTCTAGAACCATTTTTGCACAGAATGCTGTCTGCCAATCTGACTTCTACAAACAGCATCGAGTTTGACTACAAACAGCATCAGGCTGGCCCAAAGCAATTAATGTCCTAATAACAGAGAGTTCTGGGCTAAGAATAACCCTCACGGCAGTGAGCCAGGTACTCCTCATGGGATATTCATTTAACCCCCAGTGGCCCTGTGGGGCAGGTGGCACCATTCTTACCATTTTACAGAAGAGAAAACCAAAGCACAGAGAAGAGCGTTAACTTGCCCAGGGCCACACAGCCACCAAGTGGCAGAAGCCCCCAAAAGTCATCTACCCTGGAGATTGCCTTTAATGAACAGTTTGCAGCTCATGTTTATCCTTTTATATTTTGATGAGGGGTAGGGAGACGGCTTCTGAACTTGGGAATTCAAAGATTTAAGAGCTCTCTGCAGGTTTAACATCTCTTAGCCTCCATTGTCCACATCTGGAGAACGCCGATTCATAAATGCCCCCTCTGAGGGTGGTCGTGGGATGAGGTGGGCTGGCACAAGTGGGTGTGCTTGTAAGCTGTAAAGTGCCGGGCACTCAGTGTGGACATGGGTGCTGATATTAAAATCTAAGTGAGCGAGCTCGTTCCTATATCCCCAGCCTCTCTGATCAGGAGACTGTGGGGAGCCCCACAGTGAGAAGCCCCGTAGCGAGGTCAGGACCAACTAACAAGGGTGTTTTCCCTGTTTTTCTCAGACTAGAACTTAGAGTTTCGAGCCTGCATTCTAGTTTTGGTCTTCTTATTTTTAAATAATCTGCATATTTTTTGGTTTTTCTCTAAATCCAGTTTGCACCAACCTGTAAGTCTGGAGAAACCCAGCCTCTGTCGTTACCAAGGCTTGCATCCTGAGCTGCACCAACATTCTGGAGTTCTATTTAATTCTAAAGAAAAGAACCTTCCCATTGAACACAGCCTTTCTCCATGTTTCTCCCTAACCCTGCCGCCCTCTTTCTGAAGATTAAGTGTTAGAATCCAGAATCTTCTCATTAACAACAGCCAGATTTTTCCCTCACTTTACTGTTCAAATGAGATACCATATGCAGACATTTTAGACAATCCCTGGTGCAGAGTTAGCCCTGAACAAATGGTAATCCTTTCCTTGCCCCTAAAGCAAGAAATCCATTGGTACTTATTACATAATCCCTGCCATTTGCTCTTTGCAAATAAGAACAGTGTGTTTTGAGGTCAGGTTGATGCGGGTTAAAATGTGGGTGAGAAGAAATGTTTTTCTGTTCACATTCTTTCTGGCCATCTGGGATGCATATATAGAACCTCACATGCTTATGCAGTTGAAGACCATACGTTTGGTAATCACACCTATAAATATAAAAGATCTATTTCAGAATTGTTACTCTGAGCCTAATGCAGTCTTCCCCCCTTCCAGATCTCTGCAAATGGCTTTCTGTTGCCAAGAAGAGAAGAAACTTTGCATTTGAGTGGAAATCGGACCTCTAATCCAAGCATATTGCTTGCTGTTAATCGCCAAAATGGGACTGCTAATGAGGAATGTATTTGCATATGTTTGCAAAAGCTGAATCACTGAAAACTTAGCTTGAAGCTCTCTTATCTTTGGACACACTAGGTCAGAGAGCAAAGCTGGGGAAATAGTCCAGCTTTTGAAACTTAGGTATTTTATATTTTTTCCCTCAAGAACTTTTTTTTAAGAAACGGATCTGCCATCCTCCTTAATTTTTGCGACTGCCTTGGTGGCTTTGTTTGCTGTGACAAGGCCCACAACCTGTGCCTCTCCTATTCACCCAAACTTTGAATTCAAAGACTCTATTTAAAAATTTAATATATGAGGTTTTCTTTGATTCCTCCTCAGTTCTATTTCGTTTGTTTCATGGGGTGGTGGCGGGGGGAACAGAATAAAATGAACAGGAGCTCATTTGTCTGTGCCTTACTTTACAGCGTGAATAGATTTTTTTTTTCCCATGTTGAGTTTTGTCAGGTGGATTGGCGACAAGCAAAAGCTGGAGAATAGGTCCATGCAAGACACAGCTGAACACCACCCCCCCGGGATTCACTGATTAACTAGAAAGACTCACAAAACTCAGAAGAGCTGTTAGCTTATGGTTATGGTTTGTTACAGTGAACAGATACAGACGGAAATCAGCAAAGGAGAAAGGCGCATGGGCAGAGTCCAGGAGAAATCACATCAAGCTTCCAGCTATCCTGTCCTAGTTGAGTCGTATGGACAGAGCTTAATTCTCCCAGCAACAATGTGTGACAACACGTGCAAAGTGTTGCCAGCCGGGGAAGCTCACCTGAGCCTTGGTGTCCAGGGTTTATATAGGGATCAGTCACGTAGGCTTGGAGACTGACTGTAGTTACACCATCTCCCCCCCTCCTCCCCCACCACCAGAGGTCAGACTGACACAGCCTTCACCCAAATGACCCAAGGCCTCCACTATAAATCATATTGTTGGCATAAACTATCTGGTGTGGCCCGTGGCCCCAGGTATACAAAGACATATTTATCAGGCTTAGAAGTTATCAAGGACCAGTCCTTTCTTTGAAATTAGCAGGACTTGGAACACCCCAAGCCTGTCGAGTTGACCCTTTATGGCACAGCGCCCAAACACTTGAGAGAACAACTGGGCCCAGAACAGTCTTGTCTCTTTAAGGGTTAAGATGTTTTACCCATACTCCTGGCCTTGACATCTCATGATAATATATGAGGATTTGAAAAGGCCATGACTCACAGTGGATTTTGGAGTTAGGCCACTTACTAGCTGTGTGGCTTGAGCCTTCATTTTTTTGTCTGAGTAATGGGAAAGTTAAAACTTCCTGGGTTTGTTGGGTCAGAAGAGGGGTTAATGGAGGACATTGGCAGTGCTTCCTGGTATGAGATGAGCCCTCAGTATGAGGCAACTCCTGTGTCTCCTTGTTCTTGAGGCTACAGTGGGGTGGTGTATTTATTTCCTAGAGCTGCCGTGATAGAATACCGGAAAGTGACTGGCTTTACACAACAGAAATGTATTGTCTCACAGTTCTGGACGCTAGAAGTCCAAGTTACCGGCCATGTTGATGCCTTCTGAGGGTCCTGAGAAACTGTTCCATGCCTTTCTCCTAGCTTCTGGTCATTCCAGGCGTTCCTTGGCTCACAGCTGCAGTGCCATGTGGTGTCCTCGCTCTGCTTCTCTGCCTCTGTGTCTCTCCTTTTTTATAAGGACGCCAGTCATATGTGATTGGGACCCACCCTACTCCAGTTATGACCTCATGTTAACTGATAATATTTTCAAAAACTCTATTTCCAAACGGGGTCACAGGAATAGGCATTGGGACTTCGCCATATCTTTTTGGGGGACACAATTCAATCCATAACAGATGACTAGGCTTTGGAGGGTTGGAAACCCCTTGTGTGTGTTCGTTCAACTGTCATTTATCAATCTGCTGCTCAGTTTATCGTGTGTGGTGCTGTCCCTTTGAGAATCTGATGATAGGTGTGGACTCCCCCCCAAAAAAAAAAATACATATTGGTTCCAGGATTTCACACCTTTTGTGAAGCCCATCCAGGAAGACTCTGGATATTCACAGAACTGCTTGGGGGGCAGGGGGAAGGATAATGTAAGAAAACGAAGTGCAGGAAAAGAAGGAAGAAGCCAATTCTGGTTCTGGCCCGGAACCTCGCCGCCTTGTGGTGGGATTGGGTCTTGACCCTGAAACACCAGTCTCAGAGTCCACTTCCATTTCCTCCTCCCTAATTTGATCTGGGGGTGGGAAATTTGAATCCTACATGAATATAAAAATCAAACAATCAGAAGAATTTATAGTCAGGATGCAAGAGGCCCCTCTCACACTTTTCTCTCAAAATCTACTCTTTCCCTAAAAGTAATGCTACCATTAGGAACATATTCTTCCAGACCTTTTTCTATAAATTTACATTCATATAAATGTTTACATACACATAAGTATTTAAATATGTAGTCTTAAAGATGCATAAAAAATAGCACTCTGAATGGATCATTCTGAAATGTACTTTATAAATTGCATAGGAGGGTTTTTAATGCGAATACATACAGATCTACTGTTCCTGCTAACAGCTGTCTGATTCCAGAGCAAACCATCCTTTTGAGTTTCCACTTTTCACCTCGCCCCAAGAAGCTGCAGTGGGCATTCCTTTGCATGCTCTTTGTGCAACTGCGCAGGTGTTTTTCCCCATAATGAGAAGTAGAATTGATGGCACGAAAGGCAGACATACTAACCATTTGATACATTGACCCCTAAAATGGCTGTTCCCATGTCCTCTGACTTGGGCAGAAAAGTGACTTTATTGTGAAACTAGAGCCTTTCTTGGGGGCGTCTTGGAGCAATGGGTCAACCTCACTCATGTCCTGGCTTGTGCATCCTTGGGCAACGTGCGTCATCTTTTCTGATTACTGAATTTGTGAAAATATTATAATCGGTGCATCACTTGGGTGCTATTTTTATTATACACAATTAGCTTTGGAGTCAGAGAGAACTAGGTTTATACCATGACTCCACCACTTACCAATTAGGTGACCACAGGCAAGCAGCTCGACTTCTCTGAGCCTCAGTTTTCCTAATCTGTAAAATGGGGATAAATTGATAATAACTGCCAATGTCATGGGATACTTGTGAAGAATCAACGAAATAAGCAAATTTTCTGGCTCAGTGAAGCCAGATAATGAAAGCCAAGTTGGAATCAACTTGATGGCAACGAGGTTTTTAATGGCGCCATGATGAAGACTTTGTTTTTTTACAATGATTATTCCACCACCCATCTGTCAGTTTGTCATACTGTGGTGGCTTGCATGTTGCTATGATGCTGGAGGCTATGCCACCAGTATTTCAAATACCAGCAAAGTCACCCATGGTGGACAAGTTTAAGCAGAGCTTCTAGACTAAGGCAGACTAGGAAGAAGGGTCTGGCGATCTACCCCGAAAATTAGCCAAAGAAAACCTTATGGATCACAATAGAATATTGTCGGATATAGTGCTGAGAGATGAGTCCCCTGTGTTGGAAGGCACTACACAATGGCTGCAACAATGGACTCAAGCATACCAGTGATCGTGAAGATGGGGCAAGGCCAGCAATGCTTCGTTCTGTTGTACACGGGGTCATCATGAGTCAGAGCTGACTTGACAGCAACAATAATCATAATTATTATTACTATTCTGATATCAGGGATGACTTGTGATGGACCATCCATACCCTCTCATCAGGCTTTATGTTTATTCAACTGATGGCCAGCCAGCTGTACCTGTGGCCTGTTGTTGTGGAACAGTCTTCTGTACATGTGCCAGATGGATGGAATACAGGTTTCCATCCTCATTAATACAGCCACACACCTGGCTGACCCACTAGATCCTCCAAAGGGCTTGGCAATTTTCCATTCTTGAGCTCCAGTTTTTGTTGTTGTTGTTTTCATGTCTTATGTCTACTCACAGGGTAAACTTCCACCCCTCCAAGGATAAAGGTTGGATACTTGATGGAGAGTCATGGACGCCGGAAGCTCAGGGTCACCACTCATTGGGTAGCAGAAGGCATCCAAGTCTCAGACACCCATTGTCATTGTTCCAGTTATCTATTGCTACATAACCAACTAGCCCAAAATTTAGTGGCATAAAATACTTGATTATTAAATCTCTCAGTTCTGTGAGTTAACTAGAGTCCACCAGGTGGTTCTCGCAGTTGGATGGTGGCTAGGACTTCTGTCATCTGAAGTCTCCTTCATTCACATGTCTGGTGCCTGTGCTGGGTTGGCTGGAGCTTCTAGAGGCTTGTTGCACATCTCTATCCATGTAGCCTCTTCACATGGCTACCTTGGGCTTCCTCACAGCATGGCAGTCCTGGCATGGCTGGACTTCTTACATGGTGGCCGGAAGCAGAACTGCTGGTCAGTTAAGGGATACGCCTTGAACTGGCACAGTGTCATTTCTGCCTCACTA